TAGGGGGAGGAGGAGGGAGAGGGCGGGGGAGGAGGAGGAGGTGGTGGCGGGCGGGAGGAGGAGGAGGAGGAGGGAAGGGGGAAGAGGGGGAGGGGGGGGGAGAGGCAGGAGGTGGGGGAGGAGGAGGAGGAGGGGGGAGGTGGGAGGAGGAAGGAGGCGGCGGGGGAGGAGGAGGAGTGGGAGGAGGAGGAGGAGGGGAGAGGAAAGGGGGAAGGAGGAGGCGGGGGGAGGAGGAGGAGGTGGCGGGGGAGGAGGAGGAGGTGGGGGAGGGAGGAGGAGGGAGGAGAGGCGGGGGGAGGAGGTAGGAGGTGGGGGGGAGGAGGAGGAGGAGGAGGAAGGGGAAGTAGGGGAGGCGTGGGGGAGGAGGAGAGGGTTGGGGGGAGGAGGAGGAGAGGTGGGGGGAGGGGGAGGAGGAGGAGGAGGCGGGGGGAGGAGGAGGAGGTGTGGGGGGAGGAGGAGGAGGAGGAGGAGGGGGAAGAGGGGGAGGCGGGGGGCAGGAGGAGTGAGGTGGGGGGAGGAGAGGAGGAGGAGGAGGGGGGAGGAGGGAGGAGGCAGGAGGGAGGCGGAGCGGGGGAGGAGGAGGAGGTGGTGGGGGGAGGAGGGGGTAGGAGGAGGAAGGGGGAAGTTAGGCGGGAGGCGGGGGGGGAGGCAGAGGAGGAGGTGGGGGGAGGAGGAGGAGGAGGTGGGGGAGGCGGAGGAGAGGAGGAGGTGGGGGGAGGAGGAGGAGGTGGTGGGAGGAGGAGGAGGAGGAGGAAGGGGGGAAGTAGGGGGAGGCGGGGGGGGAGGAGGAGGAGGGTGGGGGAGGAGGAGGAGGAGGTGGGGGAGGGGGAGGAGTGAGGAGGAGGCGGCGCGAGGAGCGCAGGAGAGTGGTGGGGAGGAGGAGGAGGAGGAGGAAGGGGGGAAGTAGGGGGAGGCGGGGGAGGAGGAGGAGGTAGGGGGAGGAGGGAGGAGGAGGTGGGGGGAGGGGGAGGAGGAGGAGGAGGCGGGGGAGGAGGAGAGGTGGTGGGGGGAGGAGGAGGAGGAGGAGGAAGGGGGAAGTAGGGGGAGGGCGGGGGGGGGAGGAGGTGGGAGGAGGGAGGGAGGGGGCGAGGGGGAGGAGGAGGAGGAGGCGGGGGAGGAGGAGAGCGCGAGGAGAAGGAGGAGGTGGGGGAGGAGGAGGAGGAGGAGGAGGAGGAAGGTGGGGGGAGGGCGGAGGAGGAGGAGGAGTGTGTGGAGGGAGGAGGAGGAGGAGGAGAGGTGGGCGAGGAGGAGGAGGAGGTGGAGGGAGGAGGAGGAGGGAGGTGGGGCGAGAGGAGCAGGAGGTGGGGGGAGGAGGAGGAGGAGGAGGGGGGGAGGAGGAGGCGGGAGGGGGAGAGGCGGGGGGGAGGAGGAGGAGGAGGAGGAGTGGAGGAGGAGGAGGAGGTGTGGGAGGAGGAGGAGGAAGGAGAAAGTGGGGGGGAGAGGGAGGAGGAGGAGGTGGTGGGGGGAGGAGGAGGAGGAGGAGGAGGCAGGGAGGGGAAGATGGGAGGAGAGGAGGAGGTGGGGGGGAGGGGGTGGGGAGGAGGAGGAGGAGGAGGAGGAGGAGGGAGGAGGAGGAGGGGGGAGGAGGAGGAGGAGGAGGAGAGGGGGGAGGAGGAGGAGGAGGAGGAGGAGGAGGAGGAGGAGAGGAGGGAGGAGGAGGAGGAGGAGGGAGGAGGAGCGAGAAGAAGAAGAAGAAAAGAAGAAAGAGGAAGATTAGGAAGGAGGAAGAAGGAGGAGGAAAAAGAGAAAGAAGAAGGAGAGAAGGAGGAAGAGGAGGCGAGGAATGAAAAAGGGAAGAGGAGGTAAAAGAAGAAAAAAAACAAGAATCGAAACAGAAGAAACTGATAGATCGGAATCCAATTCAGAAATATCAATATAGTTGTAAAATCCTCCGCTATTTCTGACGAATCTCTAATAAATGTATTAACCTTAATAGGAGCTCGTTTTCAAGTTTTCAATCTACCACAAATGTTTTTTCAAAGCATTTTTGATAATAAAAAATGCATCTAGTGAAAAGTCGTTTCTAAAACCAGATATCAGGTCACACTCCACACTAATCTCACATCTTTACGTTTATTTTTTTCCATAATTATCACTCACACCCACATATCCAATTTTCTTGCATCCCTACACAGACTTTTCCACATCCACACACAAAACTCTTCCGCACCCGCAAATAGAATTTTCGTTCACCCACACACACACATAAGATTCTCTCACATCCATATATAGAATTCTCCTACAGTGACACTAGAGTTGTCCCACATCCACAACTATTGTGCCACATCCACGCAGATTTACCTCCAGTACAAACACATAGAATAGCTTCCACTTCCACACGTGATTCTCTAACACCCACACAATGATTCCTCAAACCACCCACACATTTAAAAAATTTTTCTTCCACATCGATTTTACCCCAAAACTGATTACTTTCCAACACAGAAAAACAATTCAAAACCAGCTGATTACTCCCCAAAAACATTAAAGAAATTTTCCAAAAACCCCCCCTCCCCCAACAACCCCAACCCCAACCAGGTGGGATT